TATATATATAATGTGGCGAAATTAAATAAAATATTGAGGAATTTAATGAAAAAATAACATCAATAACTGCGAATAAAACAATTCCGAAAAGTACAGGAAGTAGAATTAATAAGAATGTCCCATGGTGGGACGATAACTGCAAAAAAAGCTATTAAAGAAAGAAATAAAGCATTCAAACTTAAAGTTCAACATACAATTGAAAAATTAATCAATCATAAAAGAAAACAAGCAGGAGAACATTGTCAGGAGAACAATAAGAACTGTAAAGAGAGAATACTGGTGAAAATACTGCTCTAATATAGGAAGAGAAACAAAATTATCACATGTTTGGGGGATGATAAGAAAGATGAACAGAAAAAAAAGATGAATAGAATAACATTTGAAATCCCAGTATTAAAATGTGAAAACAATGAGGCAATAAGTGATCAAGATAAAGCTGAACTATTAGTTAAATTATTGGTTAAAATACATAGTTCTAATAATATCTCAGAGAATGTTAGGGAGTTGAGAAATAATACTTTAAAAGATTATCCAAATATAGTTGGTAAAAAAAAACTGTATGGAAGATGGATCTACCTGTTACTTTGTTTGAACCGAGAAGAGCTTTTAATAAAGCTGAACAATCTTCTCCTGGAAAAGATCATATATGTTATGAAATGTTAAAATATGAATGATAACTCTATCAAAGCAATATTAATTTTGTTTAATTTAGTTTGGGATAGTGGGGAAATACCAACACCATGGAAAAATTCTATCATAATTCCAATATTAAAACCAGGCAAAAATCCATCCAATCTATCAATTGCTTTAACATCTCAATTAGGGAAACCATTGGAAAGAATAATAACTGAAAGGTTATGTTATTTAGAAATGAATAATTTTTTATCATGAAATCAAAGCAGATAGGAAAGGGAGAAATACAATGGACTCTCGTTTTATGCCTTGAATTTGAAATAAGAAAAGCTCAATCTAATAAATAAAGAATCAATTTTTGCAGTCTTTTATTTAGAAAAAGCATATGATACACTTTGGAGAGGAGGGTTATTGATAAAATTGGAAAGACATGAGATGAAAGGAAAGTTATTTAATTGGATTTGTATTTTTTTATTTTAAAGAACAATAGAAGTGTGAGTGGGAAATTAATTTGCAAATATATTGTGGAGAATGGTACTCCTCAAGATGGTGTATGTAGCCCAATACTGTTTGTGATAATGATCAATGACATATTTGATAAAGTAAATCCAGGAATTGGTAAGTCTTTATTTTCAGATGATGGAGCTT